GTTTTGACAGTGTTTTCGGAAGACAAGGTATTCTCCTCATAATGCTTTCTCTAGCAAGAGGCCGTGAATTGCGCGCTCATATGTCTTGCAACTGTGTCCGCTGATTCCCCAATCGGGGCTGAATAGTAGTCAGGATGAAAGACGATTTTCTTTTATTTAGAGGATACAAACGTTCTCATATCACAACTACTTGAGTTTGTTTTCTTCAAATAACGATGGAACATATCTAGCATGATCAAATCATTAAACCCATTTATTGAATCAATCAACTTTCATTCTGTCCTTATGAAGAAAGGTGAGCGTTTATCGAGACCACCTGATCTACTGCGACATTGTGTTTACTCGCGGTATGGTTGGCAAAGAATCCAAACATTTGGATTCAACGTTCAGTGAGCCGCGATAAAACACTTATGTCAACATTGTGTACTCTTGTCTAAGTGCAGACACAGCTGTCAACTAAGCAACGTTTATTCCGGCTTTTGTTAGGGTATATACTTAGTAGTAATAATGGTAATAACAAGAAAACAACTTTAAAATTATTTATTCAATCCATTTTTCGTGAGTTATGATATTTGAAAGTCTACTGAAGGCTGACACTACGGAAGGTGGAAGTTGAAAACCGACGATGGGATTCAAATACCCCAAACATTTCAAGATATTCTATAATATCCTTAATGGCTCGACTGGTACACTTGGTGCTAAATGTTCTTCTAAATTATTCAGTAATGCCATGCAAAATTAATGTAAAAATAGTGATGATCTCGAACGATTTTATCATATAAACATCATTTGATGCGAATTCGATTTCATTCCTACCTGGGAATAAAAATGCCGCCCTTTTGTTGTCCCAGTGTTGGAAGGCCGGTTTTCGGATCTCTGGGTGTTCTTGGTGACCCGTCTTCGGTGCGCATAAACGCGTACATGACTGGAGAGAAACCCTGAAATAAGAGCCAGAGTGGTTAGTGGATATGCATTCATTGGTAACCCCCACCTACGAGGAATCGAGATCAATTTCGAATGGTAAATGCACAAGTTCCGAGTCAGTAATAGCTAGATAGTTACAGTTACATCCATGTTTATTTGGTTCATCTATGGTGTTGAGAATTTTAGCGATAAGTAGGGTCTGGAAAGAAAACGCTCTAATCGAATCGTCTTCTTCCTGCCTCACAAAAAACAGTTTTACAGTACGGTTCTGATTTACTCTTACACCGTTTTTGAACATATGGCATGATAAGGGTATGTATGAATGTGTACTTTACACTCGTCTGAGGCCAAACTGTTCCCCAAACAAATCACATTGCAATAATTTTTGCAACAAAGGAAAAGTCCATGATTTGCTAGTGAGCGGAATATTGCCAGCTTCTCTGGGCTGAATCAGGTTCCGATAAGTGTAGCAATATCAAAATTATAAATTTAACCAGTCACGTGAAAATACCCCGATCTTAATTAACAATAGACCAGAACAATTTTGTGTAATAATGTTCAATTTGTGTGAGATCACGGCAATGCCTACATCCACAACGATTTGATTAAGAATGGTGAACTGTTTCTTTGCTTGCGTTTGCGATCCTCCACCTATTGCTGGAATTGTGTTCCCCTGAACCCCGCGATAGATGAAAATCCACAAAGTAGTGGCATTCTATCGATATTATTGTTTACAGACATTTTAAATGAAAGCAATTATTTGTCTAAATGGACTTGAATAAGGAATTCAGTAACGCAGTCGTGCGCAATTAAATTAGAGAATCACTTCTATGCACCATGACTGGTGTTTGCTATGGAAAACAAAATAGCTAATGTATGAAGGGTGATGACAGTTTACCACAGTATCAATTCACTCTTCCACTAACAAGTTTACCATGGCAGTGCCTCCTTATGTTTTTGTAAATACGTCCCGCATTTCTCTAAGCGTTGCCCACTCTCTCGTGCGCAGGTAATTTCCTAGCGAATACTTTCTACACTCGCAAACTTGCTTACTTGCAAAACAGCTTTCAAAACAACCCGTATAAGAGTTGCTCAGTGAAGTGTTCAATAATTTGGTGATTAAGACAGGCTATTACGTAGCTCTGCAGTCCGGATGGTGATGTTCAGGACCGTGAGATGAATGTCCTGTCCAGTAAAGAAGAGTCTTTTTGCTTCGCCGAAGGTACCACTTAATCAGGCGCCTCCTCAAATGGTGCAGTATCTTCGACCTGAGTCGTAGTTAACTACGTGCTGGACTATATAATAACGTGATACTTTGAATATTCTTGAAATATTTTTCCTTTGCAGATTACTTTTTTAGGTAAAATTATTTAAAACAATGTCATATAAAATAGCAGCAAAGTTCCATGATAGATTTAGTTCTGCCAAATACAAATAAATATATGTTAAGATAAAAACCCGCTACAAAATGAAGTCTCAGAAAACGACTAGCAATATAAAAAGTGACAATTACATAAGTGATTTAGACAGATTTTACACGAGTTAATTTTAACTTTACAAGTTTGCAAGTTTCGTTTTCTACTGTTTTTACGTCAGACAATGGACCTCATTCATCAGGTACTAACCAAAACCAAAGGCAACTTGTGCATAAAATGGTAATTAAAGCGAAAACGAAGCTCATGTTGCTTAGGATCCTATTTACGCACACCGGTTGCAAAGAACCAGTCGCGGATTAAATTTTGTGGTGCGGTTTTAACCGGTTTGAGCATGTGTACTTACTTTCAATAATGGAACCAAATATCAGAGGCAAGCGAAACAAAACGCCAAAGGGTCAATATCAAAATTGAAATTTAAAACAGCAAGTTCCATTCTCATGTTCTATAAAAATATATTTTTATGGATCTGAATTTACGCTAATTTGGGAACCAAGAGTATTCCGTACATAAATTTACTTTAAGATGGCAGACGATAAGCAGGTTGAACGGGCATATGAGAATATCAAATGAGTAAACTTACAAACGCATGTGCCATCTCGTGTAATGCAGTGCTACGTGAGACCCGCAACCAGGGATACGAGAGTTTGTTACTCTCGGAGCAAAAGTTGATGTATCCGAGTATTGGCCTGTAAAGAAATAAAGTGGTTATTATCATCAATAGACTGGTGAATTCTGCCTGTGTTGAAGGAAAAATTGAGAATATATTGACCGCATTATGTTAACATGTAGGTGCTTGTACCGCATTTGATACTACTCACAAGTGCAGATAATGATGATGATAATGATGGCGATGATGATGATGATGACGATAATGGTGATGATGCTGATGATAATGATGATGATGACGATGATGATAACGGCAATATTGGTGGTGATAGTAGAAGCAGCTTGGATGAAAATCTTTGGGCAATCTTGGCACACAAAATGGGAATGAGCAGCTATTGGGTGTGATCATTTATCAGCTTTAAGTCACATGTCAGCTGGGTTTAATGAAAATCAGTTGGCTGGTTTATTCCTGTTTGGTGGCAAATATATGATACCGATAGCCAGAGAATCTCCCTAAAATTACTTTTTTACGATTCAGAGTTTAGATAAGTTCTCTCAAGAATCTTTCTTCTATTTATTTATTTTGGGTTTCAGCAAAATCTGCGTCGTTTTCTGTTTGACGTGTTCCAATGTTTAATCAGTGTTTAAAACCAACAAGTATTTCGCGCCCATAGCATTTTGTTCCTTTCGCGGGATTCGCTCATTTAATGCTCAGGCACGCCCACACTCAGTTGCTTTTGCGACGCTCCACACACGAACACAATTACTTCACATGTGACAGAAGATGGAGGAGGGTTGAGTTCCGACCACCCGCCTACTCCGTAAGTTATAAAAGCTCATTGTTTCAACGGATCGCCGTTGTACTTCTTAAGATAGTCTCCACGTACGACAGAATAGCTCCACTGCTTATTGACGCATATTACGTTGGAAAATGGCATACTTTCACGATGGGGCTTTGGAACTGGTTTATTAACTACCACACTTGTGGTCAGTATTTCGTTCGGTCTAATAGGCACATTGTAACCCAATTCACTTCCACTCGACATGAATTTCAAATTATGCTCTCAGCGTTCTCCTGTAGTGATCGTGCAACGAGTAAGCAAGCATCACGAGACAGCCTCCAGGTGACCAATAAGGAAACAGAT